CCTCCCAACAAGGATGCCTGAGTTTCCTGGCGCCCCACCCTCAGTCATACCCAGAGATGAAAGGGGCGCCAAAGTTGGGGAGATTCTCTTTTGGGGCCTAAAGGTGGTAGGCTCAGGGGTGGGCGACCTGAGGAGCAGAAAGTAAGTCTCAGGCCTGGAAAAGTTAAGTGTTTTATTACGTTCCTAAACAGAGGGCAGATCCTGAAAGGTTTCCTCGATTTATAATGAACAGAAAACAGCTGCTGGGGGGAAAGGCAGAAATTCTGGAAGGAAGATACCAGGAGAATCAGAAACACAAATGTCTTCCCTTTACCTAAGGAATTTGGGGAATATTAACTTCCAACACTCTCCTCTGTATCTCCAAAGGGAGAAAATCCACGTTTCTTTTAGTTGGACCTTTGATTTTGCAGCTGAAATTTACTGAGAGGACTCAATCCAAGGGGGCAAGCAGGTCATAGGGGTTGGATCTTCCCTCCTTGGGATAATATTTTTTTCCTTTTCCCATTTTGTGCTTTCTCCTCCCTTGGCAAAAGATTGGCTGTCTATGGGGAAGGGGCTGGGACTTGAATTTTTCTAAATATATTTATATTTTCCTGTTAAATTTGTTTGAAAACAATTATGGAAGCTCATCAGCAGAAGCAAGAACAGATGTTTTATTAAAACTGCAGTGCAGTTCTGTAAATATGCACAAGTCTTGGGAAGGAGGGAGGCTCCCGTTCTTTGTTTCCATCAGAACAAGCCTAGAGAAATCAGAGAAGCTCCCCATCAGTCCAAAAGCCTATGTAATGCCCTGGGCCTTCCGACTTCTGAAATAGGCATGCTGAAGGGACTTGGTGTCAAGAGCAGATTTTTTGCTTTGGGAGCTACAATTACTGGATTCAAAAACAGAATATTAAGACTCAGGAAAGGAATAAAGGAGTAAAGTTGCTACTGGCAGCTCCAGTCCCCACCACCCAATCCAAAACACATGCCTTCCAGGGGCACTAATTATAGGAGAGGAATTTACTGCCTGCTTCTCCGGCCTGAGTGGGTGTATCGCTGGCCTGGAGGCTCAGGGCTGCTCCAGGCTCGGGTGCTTAGGGATTTCCCCCACCTCAGTCATGTCAGATCTCAGCCAGGAGAAGGCAGCCGGGTCCCTAAGGTTCAACACCGGGGAAAGGATGAAGGGAGAGTGGACTGCAGCTTCTAGAATGGCCATGGACAAGCTTGCTTGCCTTTGCTTTCTTCTCTGCTCTGGCAAATAAAGTAATTTTGTGTGTGCAGGCGTCTGAAGTGAGCTGGTGAGATCTGGAATTCTTATTCGGGGATACTCTTTGTGTTCTGCAGATCACCTCTCTCCCAGGATCCCCCACCTCTTCGAGGATGTTTGTGACTGACTCTAGCACAGATTCACAGCTGTACTCCAGTCCTGGCCGCGGAGGCCAACTCCAGCTCCGCTGCTGCCTCCTTAGGCTGTGCGTGCACCCCAGCGCTGGAGCGGGCGCCGCTGACGAAGGCCCCTCGCCTGCCCGGGCTCCTGCCTGCCTAAAAGCCACCGCAGCTCTGGGACCCTGCCCCTCCACCATCTCCAGTTCTTGATTTCCAGAGATGCAGAATGGTTACCCCGTCAGCCCCTTTTGTGCCACTTGTCGAGAGCTGAAATCCCTCTTGGAGAGAAAGCTGAGTTCAATAATTGCTCAGCTCACCTCACAATCGCACTATTTGGTTAAGGCTTTGCTGTTCCAGAGTTCAGCTAGCTCTAACTGCTTGTGACTAAACTAAAAAAAAACAAAACAAAAAAAACCCCACAAAAACCCTATTCCAAGTGTCTGGTGTTTTGTGAACAAGCCCCTTTGATCTCCGTGGACCTCTCAGGAAAAGAATTGTAAAGAGAGCTGATCAGGCCAGAGAACCTGAGCAAAAGGAGGTCTGGTCTGCTTGGGAATGCCAAACCTCGGCTCACCAAAGGTGGGGCCGTTTTCTGGGATGTGGTAGGAAGGTTTTCTAACACGCACACCCTGGATACACATAGTGCATTCCAAAAAGGATCGCTCCTTTCAAAAGTCAAGCTTAGAGACACTGGAAGAAAGTGAAATTTGACAGAACCCATTTGCAGGTGCTAATATTTGGTGACAAGGCTGAGGCTGACCAGTTGAAGGGGGTTGGAGTGTCTGCAAGGAAGGAGGGAAGGAGAAAAGAACCCGATGGGGCATGTTAGGCTGCTGAGAATCGCCACCCATAGCTCTCAGGCCTGTGCTGTGGCTCCTTCTCTTGAGCTAGGAAGAGATTATGAGCTGGAGCTTTACCGCCCTTCAGCCTTGGGAGAAGGTGCTCAGAGGGCTCTGCTCAGTGATGGCATGCCTTCCCTCCTTCCTCTGCTTCTGCAAATCTCTGCCTGACCTTTCCCAACAAACACTTCCTAAGTACATCGGCCAGCACAAACCCCACCTTTGCATGTCTGGCTTCTCTGACTCTGACTTAAAACTCAAAAGGAAAGTGGGTTCCATCACACTTTGCCCTGAAACCCCTTCAGGCTTCATGTGAAAAAAAAAAAAATCTGGCTTTTGAAGACCAGGCCCTCAAGCCTTTTACCTTGAAGCCAAAGTAACAGAAATATCAGCTGAGGAGGGGGCTTGTGGAGAACATTTCACACCTAGTGAGAATGGAAAGTTAGCTGCCTCTGGACATGCCAAGAAGGCAAAACAGGGGGCCCTACTTGACCTGAAAATAAAAATCAAGACCCAGAATATTTAGGGCACTTTTGTTGCCGAAATAGAGCCTGGGGGGACTGTCAAGTGAGGAAGGAGGGTGACAGGGAATGTGCTGTTCTGTGCTAATCCAAAGAAGCCCCCAGCTTTTTGGTTTCTCCGATGCTCCTGAACATCGACCATTACTTGGGTCTGGAGGTTCATGAGAATTTAAAATGGGAGAACTTGGCATTTATGACATCGCAGTATGTTGTCATATGGAAACTGTGACAGTCATAAACACATGACGAGAGCTGTATATATGAATACCAAGCCTTCTCTTACCTCCCTCCCCCCCCAGGTTTTCCTGGTCTAACTTCTCTCACTTAGAAATAAAATGTTATTATGTTCTGGAACAATAAGCCAACAATGAAACACCATCGTCATTTCTCTATAAATAAGTTTATCCTTTATTGTCAACAGATCTGAAAGAATCATATAGTTCATACTAGTGAAAGAGGGAGAGAGATGGGGAGAGGTGAATTAATTTCAGAAACAAGAATACTACTAACTGCAATGATACTGTTTTAGATTTGATAACTAGGAGCAAAATTAAAGGCAATCATTGACTTCTCTGAGTCTCCACCTGGAAGGATTGGGGGGTTAGAACCCTTACAAAGGGGCAATTTAATTTTGTAGGACTTGCTTAAATTCACTGCTATTTGGGGGACTGAGAAGACAGGAGGAAAGGTGAGATGTTTCATCTAGTTTTATGAATCCACCAACATCACCCTGACTGAAAATCCATCCACCTATATCTGAAAGAAGCTCACTCAGAAAGGAACGGAGGAGCCAGGAGAAGGAGGAAGAGGAAGGAAGGGCTGCTGAAATGTCCTCGGGGTCTATAGTCCCCTTTCCCAACTGGTTACCAAGGCTAAGAAAGAAAAGCTGTAGAAAGAGAAGAGAGGTTTGGAAATCTCTCCAACACCAGGACACCAGGAGGTTTATGGTGTCTCCATAATTCCCCTGTCCCATAAACATCGACCCTATTTTAGGACAATTTCTGCTTCCTCCCTTCAGAAAGGGAAAATGAGGGTGCACATAAGGGTAGAAGGTAGGGGTGTTGAAAGGGGGAGAGGGTTTGAAAGAGCCCTGGACTTTGTCCTCCCCGAGCTAATATGCTGGTTTGGCGGGTTTCTGACGCAGGGTGGCAGCAGACAAAACAAGTAAACAAGCATAAACAGGGGTGGCTGACGGCACCGTGGCGGAGGCCGTGGGCTGCTCGAGGGGCATGAACCTGGGGTAATGCTACCCCAAAGCTGGTGTGGCCAGAGCAGGAAGGCCTGGGTTATTCTGTTGAAACCTCTGTGAAGAAGCAAGGAAGAAAAGCTGTGAGACTACCAGAGCCACAGTCTGGGCAGGAACCTGAGTCTTTGGGTAAACCCCATCCAGCCCTGTGTCTTCCCTCACTTTCATTTATGGGGCCTTCCACTGACATTCCTATTTCCTCTCAAGCTCTGTCTTTTTGTGGCCGCGGAAAAGCTGCAAAAGAAAGCCAGTCAGTTCCCGGGGCAGTGGCCGGTACTCAGGGCTCCAGGCCCACAGGCCAAAGGGCCCAGCTTGCATTCTAGCGGGGCCTCCAGCAGCCTTCTCTCCAAGTGGACCTCACTCCAGTTCAGGTCGATTACAAGGTTAAAATGCACCCCATGGGGTTCCAGATCTATTTATAGGACCTTCCAGAACTCCCAATATGCTTTACAGACAGGCAAATCTAGGGTGAGGTCATGAGCCAGGAGCAAAGGGAAGGAGGGCTATTCACAATATCCTCACCCTTCCTGGTTTGCTTCTCCACAAGCCTTTTTAAGCACCTTGACCTGCAGCCACCTAGATCCATGCCCAGAAATCACCTTAGCCACTACAATCCCTTTGCCATCCCAGTGGAGGCTTCCAGCCTCCAAGGCCCAGCCCTGGCGGCTCAGAACTGCTCACAGGCTCACAACAACCATGAAAGAGCCCACAGACTTCACTTTCAAGATGACTGGGCTCTTCTTGGAAAACAGCCTGCACTGGCAGACTCCATAGGGAGGTGAGGAGGGACAGCAGAAGGTGAGGTGTCTCTCTGGCTTAGACAGCAAAAGCAGGGAGCCCTTGCAACTTCTTTGGATTTTGGAAGCCACATACTCCGATTCCAGCACACGCATTTCCATAGAGACTCACCGAGGCCTCCTGGAGCACAGCTCCTCAGCCCACTCTCAGCCCGTGAAGGCTGACAGAATTTTGCATGCACATTAAACAGTGTTGGTCAAATACAGCCATGGTAATATACAAGTAACCATGAGGAAATGTGAGTCTCATAAAGCCCTCCCTGAGTCTGAGACTGTATACAATAAACATCTGATTCCACCAAGCCTGGTCTCAGAGCACAAAAGTCACCTCAGCAAAGCTGCCTTTTCCAACCAAGGTCGAATTCTGTAGGGTTCTGTCCACAATTGTCAGACAGAGGCAAGAAAGGGCCTGTTCTGCCCATTTCTGCTAGGAACCTGGCCTGACTTACAGAACCACTGAAGGGGCGGGCCTGAGCGTGCCCAAAGGGTGCTCTCAGAGGGTGCTTCTGGGTCCCGGGCTCTCGGGAAGTTGCCAAAAGCCCTGATCCAAAGAACCCAGTGACCACTGCGTGTGCAGAGTCCTTGAGCAAAATTCTATTCTTGGCCTCCGTGGCTATTATTAGACAACCAGAAGGGCTCTCCTGCAGCGAGGACCCGCATCCACACAGAATTTGGCCTGCAAGGAGACCGAGGATAGCCCCGTGGCCCCTCTGCGCTTCCGTTTGGAGCGCCAGAGACAGAAAGAACCAGGGAGCAGGGAAAGCGAAAGTAACTGGCGAGCACAGTGCTGGCTGCGTGCTGATTTACCCCAGACTGGAAACCCAGAGCTGGCATTCTGCTTCTCCGCTTGCCAAGAAGGGTCTGAGGGCGAAGGGTACAGAATGAGGCGGGGGTGGGGGCTGCAGGATTGTCGCCAGGAAAGAACAGGAAATCAATAAAAAATAGGAAAACACCTCCAGCTGGTGTTTCTGACGGGCGCTCTGGCACTGAGGCACCTCCAGTTAGGCCTGGAGAAATACCCCGGCCTAGCCCAGGCCCGCCCCTCCGAAGGGAGGGGGCCTCTGACATCCCAGGTGAATCCACACTGGGCTGAACCGGCTTCTCCAAAACTGGTTTTCTTTTCGGGTGAAACAAAGGAGACTTATGCCCCCCGAACGGCACCCCCTCCCACGTCATTGCGGCCATCCGCAGGGACCGGGTCCAACAAAATGCAGGCGGAAGAGAGAAATAGCGGCCTCACCGATCGCCGGTTCCCACAGTGTGCCAGGAGAAGGCTCCGCTCGGGCCTCCAGGGCCGGTCCACTGTCCCAACGCACTCCCCTGGCCCCTCTCAGGTCCCACAGACTCCCGTCCGGGTCAGCCGGAGCCTGGGTCCCCCGGGCATTCGCCGGGCATCCGCCGGGCTCCGGCGGCGGGAGAGCGCGGCAGCAGCAGGCGGCAGGCTGGGCCCATTTGGGGAGAGCCAAGCGTTTTCTTGGTCGTAAACAAGGAACGCGAAATTAGCCCCTCGGCAGACGCCTCTGCCGACACACCATCCTACTGGGGGGTGGGGTGGGAAAGGGGAGAGAAAATGCCATTTCTTCCCCCGGGAGAATACCTCAGAGGCCTTTATGTCGACTGGAAAAGGGGAAATTTGGGGGGGCTGGCGAAGGGAAGGGGGTTGGGGGGGCCGGGGAGGGAGGATTCACTATCGGCTCGGGCTCAAGGGGTTTGATTTGAATGAAGTCGAACTACATTTTTAACAATTTAATAAAAACGGGTTCTCTAACCAGTGCGCCCCCCCCCCCCAGGCGATGGGTCTGGGGTTAACAGGAAATCAAGCTGTCCCCTCCCCCACACTGCTGGGCGAAGACTCTCAGTGGAGCCTCTGAGAGAAGGGGGGGTTGACGCAGACTGAAGGTGTGAGTCTGTGCCCCAGTGTCTGGGCACGGCCGGGAACCTGCGGCCTTCCCAGATCTAAGGTGTGTCTGCTTGGGTGTGTAGGCATTTTTGGGTGCACGCCGCTCTTTATGAACACACCAACTTCACGCTTACAGGGTCTCCTCGGACCCGGGCCCGGGAGCAGGGCGGAGTCATATATCAAACTGCAACACAGTCAGGGCCACGTACATTTGGAAGAAATTAAGCCACCGTGTTATGAAGCCATGTGTGTCCCGTTAGGATTAGACAACACGCCATTAGCACCACTTATTAGGAAGATCCGGGACTCTCCCCGCCACCCCGGCCAGACTCCCCTGCGAGGGAGCCCCCCACGCCACGCGTGAGTGCCCTCGGCCCGCCGTGCCCTCGCCCGGGCCCCGCGCGCCAGGCCTGGTCCCCCCGCCCGGCCCGAGGCCTCCGCCGGTCCCACGTCCGCCGGACTCGGCGGGTCCTAATCGAGGGCGGCGCTGCGAGGCGCAGGGGGAGGCCGGGGCGGCGTCCCGCGTGGGGTGGGGCGGGGGCCGCGGACGGGCCTCCTTTCTCCGAGCACAAGATGGCTTTTGAGCGCCGCCTCCCCGCCCCCACCCTCCCCGCCGCGCCTCCCACTCTCCGTGCGCCGGCGGGGGCGGGGGCGGGGTGGGCAGACTCTCTCCGCGGCTGACGTGCACCAGCCACCAGCCTCCCCCACCCCCCTAATTGCCAATTAACAGGCTCCGCCGCCCGCCGGGGGCGCCGCTTCCTGCTCGGCGGCCCGGCCCCGCGCCCTCACTGCGCATGTGTGGAGCCGGCCTGGGCGAAGGAGGGGCTGCGGGCGCGCGGGCGGGCGGGGGCTCCGGAAAGTTTGTTTGGGGCTGGAGGGGCTGACGTCGCTCAGGGGGCGACGGCGCAGACTGCAGACTCTCCTCCGCGGCCGCCGCGGCCCAGCTCCTCCACCCGAGAGCGCTCGGCTCGCCAAGGGGCAGGACAGACCCCGCGGGCCCCGCGCCCCGCACCGGAGGCTTCCGGCCCGCTGCCGAGACCCCCCGCCCGGGACCCCAACTCTGCCGCACAGCGGCCCCGCACTCGCTCTCCCGCCGCCAGTGGCCGGGGTTCAGCCTCACCCGTCCCCCCACCCGGTTACCCACGCGCTCATCCTCTCACCAGCCCCCTCTTCTCCAACCCACACGAGCCGCTGCTGTCCTGATCCTGAAACCGCCACCCAGCTACGGACCATTAGTTACACATTTGAACCAATAAGGAAACACTTACCGGGCGCCGCTGTCTCTCTCCCTCTCCCTCTCTGCCTTTCTCTCTCCCACTCTCTGTCTGTCCTCATTCTGTGCGGTTGCCGAGAGCCTGTTTCAGCTCCACACACACGCATATACACTTTATAGAAATTTAAAAAGAAAAAAAAAGCCCTGATATATAAAAAAAATAATAATAATAAAGCCAAATGAAATCAAGGGGAGTTGCAGGGAAGGGCAGGAGGGAGAACCTGGCGAGGGAGGGGTGGAGACGCCAGCAGCTCCGCAGCTCAGCCCCACACCCGCGCGCCTCCTGCCCCTTGGGGGCCAGAGGGTAGGGTATGGGAAGAGACAGAGGTGAGGTGCTCTCAACTCCTGCCTCTCCCCTCCCACCCTGCCCTCCCCAGGTGCCCCCAGCTTCCGGCAACTCCACTTGGAAGGAAAAAAATTAAATAGGGAAAAATAATTATTAATCAGATCAATAAAAAACAATTACTGGCAATGAACGGAGAGCCCGCGCAGGTTTCCCTGGCAGTGTCGGGCTCTTACAGGGAGGACTGCTCTGCGGAGCTCCGAACGGACAAACCACAATAAAAAGTTCACGTTCATGGATGGAATCCACATGACTTCTTGTGGCCAATCCAACTTGTGAGTCGATCGTAAACTTTTATTACTCAGCTGTAAATTTTCTGCAAACAACCGGGAATGCGCTGCGTTTGTGTAGCGTGTGCAAATGGGCGCCCGGGCGCCATGTTTACCCAATTCTCTCAGAAAGAGAGCACCCCCCACTCCCACCCCACCCTCACCCACCGCCCACTCCCCAAAGGCCGGCGGTTCTAGACTGACGGCGAGAGCCGACGAGGGGTGCAGGGAGGGAAGAAAGGGAGCTCGGACAGGCAGGGCCCACTGCCTCCTCCTCTTGCTGGCCCGAATTTTAAATACTTGTCTTAATAAGTGAAGGTGATAATGCTGGCCCCGACAAAAATCAAAGCTTTGCAGGGCTCTGTGCAGAGGAGGGAGCTGACCACGGACACTGCCCTCACTTCCACCTTTGTTTTCTAGAAAGAGAACACATCTTTCCCACTGCAGGGCCCCAGGCGAGCCCCCACCCCCACCCAGAAAGGAAGACGAGTCTTGGGCGCTGGCAGCCTTGCCAACCAAGCCCAGAGGACAGAGGGCTGGACGGGGACCTGGCAGTCCTTTGGAGGCAGCAGAATAGGTGAGAGTTTCCAGAGGCTTCAAGGACCCTTAAAATGACTCTCACCACCCAGGTGGTTTCTTTCTCAGACAGGACGACACTCCCAGCACCCAAGACCACTCCTCGCTTCAGGCCCCCTTGTTTTCTAGATTCTAATGGACCCGTGATCCCCAAAGAGTTAAAGATAACATGAAGGCTGATGGTGCGGGTCTGACTTTCTTTTTTGTGGAGGAGCAAGGCTCTTTGAAACCTTTCCCCCTGTCAGGTTGCCCACACACCTGTCTTTTTCAGAGGAAAAGAAAGAAAGAGTCCTCTCAGTGTTTGGGCAGCTAGGATCTGCGGAGTCCGCAGGCCCCCTAAGAGAGCCAGCGCTGCCCTGAATTCTACCGTCTGCTCCGAGAGTCTGTGCACCCATTTCCCCAGACCTCCAGTTTTGCTAGTAAGTGCAGAGTGGGGAGGGCAGGATAAATTACCTCCTAGAAGCTATACACTAGGCTGTAGCCCAACCACTCCCCACTGGCTGGAGGCTAAAGGCGGGCAGCTTTCTCCGGGTCGGCATTGAGCTGGCAACAGAACCTCAAGGGCTGAGTGCCCAGCCAAAGGAAGACCCTTTACCCCTCCCCAAACTTCCTCCCGAGTAAGTAAAGCAGTTGCCTCAGCCGGATACAGAGACCTCCTTTCTTTTACAAACCCACCCATAAATTTTATAACAGGTAGTTAAAAATTACGACGAGGAAGCGCTGGCCAGCTCTTCACAATGGGCGGCCTCGAGACCTGGGACGGCCCTGCAACCACTCACCGGAAATTTTACTTCCAGATTGGGGCACGCACAACCTGTCCTGAATCCTCTTTAACTGGGGCTGGGGGTGACTTTTCAACTTTCAGGAACTCTCTGGGGACACTCATATGAGAGTGGGAGGCCGACCCTCCCTGTCCTTCAGGGAGGGCGCTGGGAGCCCCTGGGGCACGCTCTTGCCTTGGCACCCCAGATTTCTCCAGGACCTGCATCCTCTTTGGGCATTCGGTGAAAGAGTGGGAAGAGAAAACGCGGAGCTATTTTTTTTTTTTATCCCAAGAAACGAATTTGCCCCCAACTTAATAGCTACATCACCCTGTCTCTACGGTTGAGATTAGACTAATAAATCCAAGGCAGAATGAGCGAGATGCTTCAACTCAGCATTTTGGAAGATACTATTTTTCACAAATCACAAATAGCTTTCGGAAGCCACTTTGATTGGCTAATAAAAAAAGTAAAGAATGGGAGAAAGTCGTTTCTTCAGCAGCCGAATGGTACCCATTTCGGTAATGGGACGGCACGGCATTTAGGAGCTCGCATTTCTAAAGAGCGCATCCCGCTCTCGAAATTACATTCCCCCATAAAACGGGGTTTTAACCTCCTTTTCTTTCCAAACCAGAAAACAGAAGCGGAGGGCTGGGGAAGCGGGGAGTGGGTGTCGTGAGAGGGGGTGCTGAGGTCTGACCCTCGGCTGCGCGACGTTTCCAGAGAAGCCGGGCGCCAGACGCACCCCGCCCTCCGACGCGACGGCTTAGGGCCACGGACATTGCTGAGCCGGGCCTGGGATGAATAGGGGATTGGTGTTAGGGGGAGCGGCGAGGCTCTTCAGAGCCATTTGACAAGGGGTTCATCTGGCTCTGCTTCAGGGCAGCAAATTTTTTATCAACGGCAACCATAATCTCACTATTAAAAAACGAAAGGGCTCTTCCTCGGTGGTCCCAGAGTCTAGGGGGAAGTGAAATGTTTCCAGGCCTCCCTGGCCAATAACCTATGCCTCCCAAATCAAACCTCATCACTTGGTTGCCAGCAGGGACCCCAAATTCTTCAAATTTCCCCTGCAGCTCCTACTTCCACACCACAGCCTCTCAAGGCGGGCTGGGGGAGGGCCTCAGCCCTAGGAAAATTGCCTGACAAATCTTAAACCCCTTTTATAGGAGACAGAGATCGGGACCCTGATGAAACACTTGGCCTGGGCCTAGGTTAAAAATCATTGACCCAGAAATCTGGTCTCAAAAATGTCTGTCTTTGGGAGTCTGTTTTTTGAAGGCCTCCCTTCCCTCGTTTGCAGACTGGCTGAGCCAGGCTGCTTATATCTCTGGAATCTGGAATGGTTTGAGCATAATTTTATTGGCATAAACAGATTTGTCTGCCTGGGACCCTCCAGATCATCCCTTTCCTACCTGGGTTCCCGAGCCCTTTGCTCCACTGCAGCTGCGGTTGGGGACTGTCCTGCTTAGGCCCACCTCCCAAACCAGTGGTCCCAGCTGTGGCAGCCAGGCAAGCTGCCCAGTTGTCAAAGTGAAGCCAGCCAGGAGCTGGCTTGAAACAGCCAGAACAGAGGCTAAGTGGACACATGGGGGCCAAGGGGCAGTGATAGCCTTGTGCTGGTTGAATCTGAATTTCAGGATGCAGACCCTCCCTGGCTGGTCTACCAGGTACTCCTCTGCCCTTCCTTTACCCTCTACCCCAGGCAGAAGCTTCCTCATCCCCATGCTTTGGGATTATTATTACTGATTATTCAGCTATCTTTAGCTCCACACACCCCCACCGCATCATCTCCACTATTTCAGGGTGATGTACTAGGTGCTAAGGGGGGACCACAAGCAGAAGACACATAAAGATCATAAAAGAATCCCACCATCTTACCCTTCACCCAGACCCCTGGAAGAAAGGGCATAGGCACAGGAGGAGCATGGGATAGACTCTTTATGTTTGCCCAGCAGAGATGAAGGGGCTACAGCATGAGCCCCAGCTCCCCTGGGGTCCCAGCACCTACACACCTTGTCTAACTTTAGTACTCATGTAAGTAGCCGCTTCTCCTTCCGGGAGGCTACCTCTTTCTCCTCCTCCCAGATCTGCCTGCCTTCCCCACTCCACTTCCAAGCTTCTCTCTCCGTGAGTTCCAAGTCCCACCACCCAAAGCCGGGTCAGCTAGGCCGTTTGCAGAGCTAGGAAAGGGAATAGAGAGGGGAGGAGTAGAAAACGGGGGAGAGTTGTAGAGAAACAGCAAGTCATGCCAGCTTTAGTGGTTTTTTCTTCTTTCATTTTTTTATTATGACTCACGTGTACAATACAAAGCACTTGGACCAGGAACAGGGCTTTCAAGACACAAAATCTACATTCATAGCTGGACATAAAGACAAATGACCAAAAATTATTATTATAGATATATTTTAACATTTGTTTCCTTTCGAGCACATTGCATAAACAGAGAATCCGAGACAGAGTAACTATACATTCAGTGCATTTCACTCCTATTCTACTGGGTTAGAAGCACAAGAAAAGCCACAAGACGGGCGGGCTAGGCAGTCTCAGTTGTTGGGATTTTCCTTAGTGGAATAAGCAGCAACAAACGACAACAAAACCGCATTACAAATACTCTCAAAGCAGGGTTTCTCTCTATAGGTAGTGATAAAATACATTGGAGGTTTCTTTCTTTTTTTTTTCTTTTTTCTTTCTTTTTTTTTTCTTCCTGTATTAGGATTTTTTTCTCTCTCTCTTTTTCCCCAAGATTATTGCAGGTTCCCTTTAGGTAGTATGTTTAAGATTTATTATCAGTATATTATTTTCATGATTATGGTGATTTCTGAGCACAAACACTAACACAGCTCAGATGAAACTGGGCCCAGAAGAACAGAAACCAAACAGCAAAGGCAAGGCAAGGAAGGCATGGGCCCAAGTGGCCATGGGATGGGTAGATGGGATTTTAGAGACCATTGCCGGCCCCTGTTGACCCCTCAGGAAAGGGGTAGATAGAGAACCCCACATCTCCTTCATTTTCATCAGGTTCCTGGAGAAAGTCAAGGGGGTTTTCTAAGAAAGAAGCCTGGGGGTGGGGGAGGGCATCTTTTTTGCTGTCTTTTATTCCTTTTTTTCTTTCATTTCCCCCTTTTCCTGTTTTTTTTCTTCTTTCCTTTCATTAATTTTTTTTTTTTTAATCCAGTACTCTAATTCCTAGCATGCAAGCAAAGCCAGGAATCATCTTCTACATCTTCAGGGGAAGATAAATGTCAGAGAAGCAGTGCAGGGGGGGGGGGGAGAGGCCTGGGGTGTGTGAGGGGATGCAGACCTTGAAATGCAGGAAGGGCTCAGAAGTGCAGCAGGGACTGAATGTGTGCGGAGTGTGGAGTGAAACAGAACTTTTCCCTGCGTCTCAGGCCCCCACCCCAGACACATGAAGCGCGGGGGGAGTCCAAAGGTAATAAAAGCGGAGCTGCAGCTATCTGACAGGTAGTTAGAGTTGGGAGTGTCATTCTATTCTCTATAAAAGCAAATGACAGTCGTAAACTTCTCAATTTATCTGCTACCATAAAACGAAACTTCAAGGGAGTTGCTAAGGGGGTGGGGATTTCTCTTTTCCTAGTCCTTATTTTCTTCCTTTTCCTCTTCTTCCTTCTCCTCTTCCTCATTTCCTTCTTCCTCCACCTTCTCTTCGTCTCGGGTCCCAGGCAGTTTATCCTTGTTGTTCTCCTTTTTCCACTTCATCCTTCGATTCTGGAACCAAATCTTCACTTGTCTTTCGGTCAGTCCCAGGGCGTGAGAGACTTCAATCCGGCGCTTTCGCGTCAGATAAGGGTTAAAGAGAAACTCCTTCTCTAATTCCAAGGTCTGGTACCGGCTGTAAGTTTGTCGTCCGCTGCGCCTCCCAGGAGCTGGACAGAACAGAACCCCAGGCTGGTTACGTTTGGTGGGGGCTCTGTCCACCCAGCACAGCTACCCTGCCTCCACAAGGTGCCCCCTCCGCTCTTCCCAGCTCTCCCTCCCTCCTGCCGATAAGGCCAACAGCAGAAGGCAAGCAAGGGCAGGAAAAGTTTCCATAGATGTTTTGGTTTAACTCCCTTCACCTTGGGAGGTGGGAGGGGGGGCAGGAATGTGGCTGTCTAAAAAGTGAGGGCTTGAGGAGGGATAGGGAAGCCTGGCAGGGTCCGTCAGGCCTACAACCTGGCGCTTACAGCTTTGTTTACAAGTGCAGAGTGGTGAGCCGGCCTGGGGACACAATCTGTTTCCAAAAGAAAGGGAAAGGGCTGGGGTTAAAGGAGAGCCGGAGGGGGCTCGTCCGCTGTCCCCTCCTTGCCAATCTTTGCCTAATGCTTTTCCAATAAGAAAAATAATTGATCTCTTGGAATGTATCACAGCTCTGCCTGAGTGCTAACTGGAGACTAACAAATAAATCACGGGCCATCCCTGCCGGAACTTGTCGTCAGCGCTTCCCCTGTGCTCCGAAACTGGGCTGTACGAGGCCGTCCTGGGGCTGGTGACCCGAGCTCTCTGGGACCCATGGTTCTTGACTGGAGGGTAGCCTGACATAGGTCCCCCGGACCTCAGAGGCCCCTACCCTGTATTTCCCCTATCTCTTCCTGAGCACTGGTTTTCCTGTCTCAGGCTTTCAGCCTTCCCTCCAACTGGAGGAAGTACAGAAAAGTTGGGTGGTGGCCTTCAGGCTGCTTCTCTGAGAGGAAGAGGAAGAGACCCCAGACAGCCAGACTGCTCTTCCTTGGGTCTTTCCCCTCTCTCTGGCTAGGGGAGACCCAGAAGCCTGGCCACTGTCTTGGAATGGCTGGCTGGCTTTGGGAAAACTGGCTACCAGCCCCAAAGACAGATAACCTCAGTTTACTCGGGGTGCCCTTGCCAGCCACCTCCCCACTTTGACGTTAGAGACAGGGAGAAGGAGAGACAGAAGGAACGAAGAAGACAATTTTTAACCCTTTGCACCCACACATCACCTTTCTTCCACCTTCACCCCAACACTCACAATGTCTCAGCACCGCCCCCCCCCTCCCGTCCCCAGCCAAGCCTTTCAAACTCCAGGAACCCACCCAGGCACGGGCGTGGAGGGGGAGAGGTCCCCAAAGCCAGGAGGGAGAGCGAGGGCAGACAAAAAGGAGGCGGGGGGGGGGAGGAGACCCCGAAGCGCGGGAGACCAAGGGGGAAAGAGAAAAGGCTTCTCACCGTGGGGTCTCATCCATGGAAACATGAGGCTGGGAGACGAGTTCTGATTTAAGTGGCCTTGTCCTTCGCTACTGTTAGTGTTGGCGGAGGATTTACAGTCGGGATATTGCACCACGCTCGCCTCTTGCTGAGCCCCATAAAGGGACTGTCTGGGGAGCGCCTCGTAGCCATAGAATTTGGAGGCGTCTCCGTGGCAGCTCAGCGAGCAGGGGTTCTGCTGGTAGCCCGAGTTGGAGATGCCGGAGGTGCCATGGTGAAAGAAGTCTTGGACGTGGTGCGAGGCGTGCTGGAAGCCGGGCGCGGAGCCGCCGGGCCCGTACACCAGCGCATGGCTCCTGCCCACGCTCTGAGGGAACCGGCAGTCGTAATAGGCCGGTTCCAGGGACTCGCCGCCTTTGTATTTGGAGAACAGGGGGTTGACGAAGTAGGAGCTCATGCTGGGTACATGAAAACCCGCGTCCCCCTCCCCTTGGTTCACGCTCCCCCGCCCGGTATCCCCGAAACTCCCCTCCCCCCGGGACCGAACCCCAAGCTGGCCGGCTCCCCCGGGCTGGACTGCTGGGCTGGGGGCTGGGCAGGTGGGGGCGCGGTGCCGGCTGCGGCTCGGCGGCGGCGGCTCTGCTCACTGTCGGTAGGTAGAGCGCGCTCTCACTTAGCTTTCCTCTAACAGCCCAGCGAATTCCTCAGACTCCCGGCGGTGGCGGCGCTTACACGCGATTCGCGTTCATCAATCCACGACATGAAGACAGGCGAGCGAGCGAGCGAGGGAGAGGGAGAGAGAGGGAGAGAGAGAGAGAGAGAAAGAGAGAGAGAGTAGGGGAGGGTTGAGGGGTTCAGGGCTGGGGGGGACCTGGAGTAGAGGAGGGAGGAGGAGATGGGAGAGACGGGGGGTGTGGTGTGTGAAGGGGGTGGCGAGCCAGCCCAGTTAATGGCCAAGGCCAGCTTTTCTAAGGTGTGCACTACAGTTTGAAGGTGCCCCCTTTTCCTTTCTGAGAGATACCTGAGCATCAGGTCACCTCAGGTTACCTCAACAGGTAGAAGACCCCAGCGGGTGACATTAGTAAGTCAGAGCTGAGCCTTTAACCCAAAAGATGAGCTCTCTGGGGTTCCTAAAGTCTGGGTACTCTGAGCAGAAACCCAGCATGCTGATTATGTACCCCAGGCCCTTCAGCCTGCAGAATCTCCAGCCTCTAGCCCCTCCAGGGTCTGAAGCTGCCCTGTCTTCTTTACATCCTGGAGACTCTTGTCCCTTGACCACTCTGGGGAGGGAGTAGTCTCCACACACCCCAAGAAGGCCCACACTGCCCTCCAGAAAGCAGCCCCTTCAAGGAGCAGGAAACCCAAGCTGCCCTGGAGAATGTGAGAGCAAAGCTGTTTGGGGGGACTGAAAGAAATAGCTTGTGTGCCCAGGCTTCTGCCTAGCCTAACTCAAGAGATTTCTTTTTTTAGAGACTGTCGCTGGGCTGAAGGGTGAGTGTGGTCCTCTCAGTGGGGGCTGAAGGGTGAGCATGGTCCTCTCCGTGCTTCTCATAAAGCACCACCCCATAGGAAATGCTGGCTCAGCCTGGAGGGGCCCTCAGGCTTCTCCAGGCAGCCTGCCCAGGCCAGGATGTGGATGGGAACTGTCAACAGACACTCTCTAAATATTTACCCACACTCTTGGGCATGGGGGGAGCATCCTCATGCCCAAGACCAGACAAATTCAAGATAATTCTAATGGGAAAAAAAAATAACCTTGCTCTATCAACAGCCTTCCTGGCCATAGTGTCTACAGTTATGTGGGGCTTAATTCAGGGAGGAAAAGAAGAAGGCACAGCACGAGGGCAATGTGTGTGCTGTGTGCCTGTGTGCTATTGTGCTCAGGAATGAAGATGAATAAGAATGATTTTTCCTGTCTTCTTCCTGTACAGTGTGTGAGCCACCCTGGAGCACACTCAGGACACACACACACACACACACACCCCACACTGTATGTACTGCACTACCCTCTTGCCCAGAAATACATCAAGTCCGTGTGTTTATTTACACTGGCCACACACGCCCCGACTCACAGCTCCGCACACATGTGCACAGCAGCACATAACGCTTGATGAACATATACACATTTGTAGGTTTTGCATCAAGGAATTTTTTTCTTCCACACCCTGGGGTTTCTGAGTTGGGCAAGGAAGGATGTGGTTAGAAAAACAGATCCTTTTCTTTCCCAGCCCATGCTGAGCCAACTCTGGGCATAAAGCGAAGACTAGCAGGGCAAGACAGGATGAAAGAGCAGCTCTCCCGTGTCCTCTTTATTTAAATAATTGTCGGGGAAATGGTACTCTCAGTCAGATTCCTAAAGGAGACTCCCTGATGTCCTGGCAGGAGAGCCCATCGGATCTGGATCTTTTGCATTTAGGGAACTCACCGCTACTGAACTTAGCCACTGCCCAAACTCTTGGACACAGAACTCTAGCTTTGCAGCAGCAGCAGCGTCCAGGTCAGGGCTGTATGTTTCCCCAGGGTCCAGAACAGCGGGGGGCATCACAGAGCAGCTCGGCCGACCAGAGCCTGCTGCGCCGCGCCTTTGGCTCCAGCCTTGTCGATTTGCGCAGTCTGCTCGGTACAGAGCCGAGCAGGGTGGATCCGAGTTTCTAGCACCCGGGGCTGTCATAAATACTTTCTCCTCTTTGACTGGAAAGAGGAGGCTCGGAGCGTCCGGGTCCTCTCTGCGGCCTGTGCCTTATCTTTTAGGGGGTGGGGATCTATTTTCAGATTTTATGGTCCAGCAAAACCCCCTGCTACAGAGCTATTCTTCTGGGCCTTTGTGTCTTGGAATGCGACCATCCTGAGTCGTCCGAACCGCTGCCTGTCTGGGATCTCATGAGTCCTGTAAGACTCGGTTTCCCCTTTGGAGGATTTTCCCCGCTTTTGTGGATTTATTTGTATGATTATTTTCTTTCACGTGTATCTGGTTTATTTTGCTGAGTCTGGAAATAAAGGAACTGCAGGCAGCCGTTCTCGCCGGCCGCTCTGTCCCTCTGCCCGAGGACGGCACCGCCCTCTTAGGTACCATGGATTTATGTTCTTATGTTCGTTTGTTCGGGTCATTCCTCCTTTTTGTGTTAATTACTTGCTCCCCACTTATCTCCACCAGCGATTATTTTTGATGCCTGCCCTCTTTCGCCTCCTGAGTTCTCTGGTAGAGCGAGGGCTCATCTCCCGCTGCCACTCACGAGTTATTTACACCTCGCAGGTGAGAGGGTTTATTTGTTCAGAGGCAGTGGGCCCGAAGCTAGCAGAAGCAGGGGCTTTCTGGCTGAAGCTTCCAGCCTGGCCTGAAATGTCAGCAGGCCAAGCCAGTGTGTGTGGGGGGGGGGGGGGGGGGGGGACACCGGACCTCCGTCTCTAACATTGAGCAACAGCGCCACCTCGCGTTCACTTGCTCCAATGCAATCTGGCTAAGGGAAAACCAGCAAAGGTCCCAGCTCGAGCTGAAAGGTGGCAAGTTAGGAGGAAAAAGCCTCTCTAACCGGTGCAAAGGAGAGGAATTCCCAGGCAGGTGGTTGTCTCTGTTCTTTGGTTTTCTAAATTCTTGAAATAAACCTTATGAATGGTTCCACACTGTCTTCTTCTCGTTACCCTCAGTTCTGGAATAAAGAGACACTGCAAAAGAGCGGCTGGAACCTCCTCCACTCGGGCGTTTTCCAGTCTAGAAAGCCCTCTGCGCAGGCGATGCACCACTCTGTCTGAAGCTTCCAGCATGCTTCTGCTGGAAGCTTCTGCTCCCAGCATGCACCCTAACCTCCAGACCCTCTTGCCCTGACGCGCAGGCTGCAGGACTGTGCTCCAGGCCACTCCCACCCCCCTGGTTTGTAGTCCCTTGAACGCGCACCCGCTCTTCACCTCTCCCTCTCAGCCAGAGAGATCCTGATCTCCGTGGGCCATAGACAAAACATTCCTATAATCCGATTTCAAAGGAAAGAGTGTCCACCTTCTTTAAACCATAAAACAATTAAGGCCAGACGTCTAGCCAGCTCCGCACTGCTGTTTTGTTCGGCCCCATTCAGAACCCAGAGCAGGGAGACAAACAGGGCCATAAAAGTGGCGTTTCTGGGCTACGGAAATGTACCTATCTGCTGCCTTCCCAAGTGGGACAACCTTTAGGGTTTTGTGATTCTACAAAGAAGCAGAGGAGAGGTGGGAGGGAAGATGAGGGGAGGAGGCTGTTTGCTAGCCCCTCGCTTCAAGCCTGCTTTCATTTCTCTGCCCAGATGTGCGTCGTGTTGTTTTAATTCATAAACGGTAATGAATAAGATCGACTCTAATTCTGACCTGGGGCTGGAAATCCTCGAGGTCAGATTAAAGAGTGGGCCTACTCTAAATCCCACCATTTCCTGGGGTCCTACAAGCTCTGGGGCTCTCTTTTCCGCCGGCAGCCAGGCCTACTCCGGAGGGCAGGCTTCAGGAAGCAGGCCACGCTGAGGGATGCAGGCAGAGAGAAGGCTTCAGGGCCTTGGAGCAGGGGCGAGACTGAAGCCGGGAAACAGCGCTGAGCTCAGGCAGGGAGAGAAGCCCAAAGCCGGACCCAGCTGGTCCAGACTAAGGGAGAGGAGGGGATCTTGGTTCTCATCAAATGCAAACTGAGACCAGGGTTACAGAAGAGAGAGAAGGCCAAAAGGGAAGAAGAATGAGGTAGTGAGCAAATCCAGTACATTTCCAAAGACCGAGGAACCAATGCTTCTACCAACCAGGAAAGAGTGAATGCACTACAGACAGCTAAATCCCCCGCTGCCACTTGATTGTTGACCCCCAATATGAAAGAAACAACATTTCAACCCTTCTCATCCTCCTCCAGTCCTCCAAATTGGAAGAAGAGAGTAGGAGATTCAAACAACAGGGCAAGGGCTATCCCTACAAGGGCCCAGCAGTCCTGACGGGGTGATATGGAGGGAGTTAGTCAGAGGACCTCCCAATTATATTCTCTTAGGTGGTGTCCTCCGAGCATTCAGAGCGACACCCTGTGTCCTTGGCAGAGTGGACAGCCCAAGATATTAAAGGGCTATATTTCAAACATTCTAATTTAATGGTTTCCAGATTGGGGGATTTCCGAGAAAAGGGGCGCTGAGCTGAGGCAGACCCAGCAGCTCTGTCTGCTTCTGATTAGCCCATGAAAACTGCTCCAGAGAGGAAGGGTTCTAGAGAGGGTGCAGCCATCACCCCTCCTGGCTAGGCTGGTAGATACAGATCAACACCTCTTTGCTCAGGGTCATGCAGCCACCAGACAGCACCCCACTCCTGGCTATTGCCAGCTCCTTGGAGTCTCACCACCCCTAAGAGTACAGCCTAGCTGACCTTACTCACCCTGATCAACATTCGGACTTCAGAGGGGGGAGAGAGGGAGAGGGAGGGAGGAGAGAAGAAAAGGAGAAATGGAAGGGGAGAGCTAAGGATAAAATCTTTGAGTAGAAACTAATTTTGTTTATTCTGATTTTACTGTCCACTTCCCTTTCCTCTTCATTCTGTCCTCTGCCGTCCTCCCCCCTTCCCCCCCTTCTTTCTTTTTTTCTTGTATTTTCATTTCTCCCTTCCTCTTCCTCATTCGCCACTCTTCTCATGTAATACTCAGCGCCTGCCCCCCAATGTTCCTTGAGGCCTGCGCAGCCTCTCCTGCCGGCTGACCATCCACTCCCCTTCTTTCTCAGCCAACCTGAAAGCACCACAGCACCAAAACAACCAGGCAAGAAGCCGGTCTGGGCCTTCACCCAGCACCCCGCTTTTATCTTCACCTATCTGTTCTCTTCAATCTCATGTACTCATAAATTATTACAATTAATTACAGCCAGCAAAACCATTTAAGCAGTGCTCCCCACACGCTCCATCAAGCCACTGGAAACTCACAGCCAGCCAGCCAGAGCAGGCACAGGCTAGGCCTCTACCCCTCCCCTGGAACACCCACCCCCATTCTGTCCTGTCGAGAGAGAAGCTATAGGCATTTGCCCTTCTGAGGTGGAGGGAGTCCCTTCTCTGGCTCCAGTTTCCCTTAGAGAATTTAAGCACTTGCCTCTTTGACAGAACCATGGGGAAGAAAGCTGATGAGAACTAGGTGCAGTTGGGTTTCTGGCTCTTTAAGTGACTCCGCTATATTAACAGAGTTGTTGTGCTGTAACAAACAGAAGCACCGGTACAGGACAGACACGGGGTGACGGCTCTGCTCTGGACACGCCTGAGGCACCAGCCTGCCTGTGCAGTGCACTCTGGCCCTCAGCCCTCAGCTCTGGGCTGGGAATCATCATTGTGTGTGTCTTTTTGTAAGAAATCTGCCCGCAGAGCACCCAAGGCCCAGGAAGGAATGGCCCAGGCCAAATACGATTGAGAGGAGGGAGGGAGAGAGAGGGAGAGAGAGAGAGAGAGAGAGAGAGAGAGAGAGAGAGCAATTTAAATACTGGCTTCTCTGAAGAAAGAAGGAAAATAATCACATTTGTGTGTGTCATTTATTTCAGTTTCGCTGGGGGAAGAGACGCCGTTTCTCTCCTGCCTCCTCCTCGCTGGATAGAACTAACTCTAAACACCAATTTCTCAACACTTAACCCTCCCACATCGCCAGAGTTTGCATTTTCCCCTTTCTGTTTTTCTTTTTCAAGACGGTGGGCTTTTCTCTATCTTGCTCTTTCCTTTTCTTTTCGTGCTTTCTCCCGCCTGGGTTGGGGCAATTTTGAGGGGTTTTTGTGTTTTCCTTGGCTGTGCGGAGGCAGGAGGCTGGGGCAGGGCTTAGGATTGCTCCTTGTCGGTTTTCTCTTTATTCATCTTTTTCATCTTCATCCTCCGGTTCTGAAACCAGATTTTGACCTGCCGCTCAGTGAGATTGAGAACACGGGCCACCTCGTACCGACGGTCCCTGGTTAAGTACATATTGAAGAGAAATTCCTTCTCCAGTTCCAGCGTCTGGTACTTGGTGTAGGGGCAGCGCTTCTTCCTTGTGGAACGGGCGTGGATCCAGTTGGCCACGGGGTTGCCTGGAAGGCCAAACACAGGCAAGGGTCAGTAGGTCCTTCCAGCCTAGGACCTCTGTCATCCCACCCCTAGGATTTCCCAAGCTCCCCAAACTCAACAATTGAACCTGAATTTGGACACGTTTCCTTAGGCATTTTCTCCTTTCTCTTTTGCATTCTGCCCCCTCCCTGCTCAGTTTCCGGCACCTAAAACTGTAGTAAATGTGAAGCCCCAAAGCTACCCCCACCCCTGCTTCAAGAGCAGTGATTTGAGAACATCCTCATAAAAAGTCCAAATTCCCAACCGCTTCATAGGCCCATAAACACTTCTCTCTCTTGTTTTTTATTTTTATAGCAAGGATCCCTCTCCTCCCCACCTCCCTCTTCCTCTGTCCCTCCCATCCTAGCAGCCCACAACCAAGTCCTGAAATGTTGTTGTTCTGTTTCCTGACCCTGAGAGTCCCTAAACCCTCACCTCACTTCCAGTACCTAACTCCGGCTCAGAATTCAACCCTGCTGAGGCGAATTATCAGGGTGATGTTAGAATGGGGAACATTCTCTCCTCAGAGAGCTGCTGGCCTTGAAGAAAGGCTCCCCCATATCTGTTCCACTCTAGTGTCCTCCCCCCAGGCCAGCCCAGGACAGGCTCTGCAGAAGACAACCCTCCAATTTCAGGTTTATGGGACTAGTGAGGGCAGGGAGTGAAGCCTTCAGAGGGGTGTAATTAGGCCCTGGCCCCTTATGGAGCTAGAGGAAAAGATTTCCTTAAGTTTCCTCCTGAGGGTCCCCCAGACACTTCCTCACACCCAGGGGGCTGCACCTCCCCTGCTGTTTCTCCTTATTCCCTCCCCCTTTCTCTGAGCCTGCAGCTTACACCTGCCCCACGCCTCTTCACCTTCTGTGCAATACTCAGAATGCTCCTAACTCCCTAATTGGAGTCTCAGTCACCCCCTTTCTGTCTCTGTCTCTCTGTTTCTCTCTGTGTGTGTGAGTCTCTCTGTTTCTCTCTCTCTCTCTCTCTCTCTCTCTCTCTCTCTCTGTGTGTGTGTGTGTGTGTGTGTGTGTGTCTGTGTGTGTCTGTGTTTCTTTAATCTGAAGATTCCTTCCCTGTTCCATAGTCCTAATCCCTATTCACAACTCTTTCTCCAGTGGACACTTAAAAGTGGGTTTTCAAGTTTAAGAAAACTAGGACCTTACTTCTCCACTTATGTCTGAAAGTCCTAACCTAAGTTCCTAGGGAGTGCCCCCCAGATTCTTCCCTTGGGGAGAAGTCGGTGGACCTTCTGTGGTAGAAACCCCTGGTGGGATGAAGACCCACACGCAGACTTAGAGGTAGAGGTAATTTCTCTCTCTTTGCTCCAAGCGCCCTCCTCACCTCTGCCTTGTCCTTTCTCAAACCACAAAATGAACCTCGCCCCTCAGGCCAGCCCCTGTCCCTGTTTGCATTTTTTTTTTCCGAAAGTGACCACTGAGCCAAAAAACCTGAGTTAAGAGGGACACCCAGGGGTCTTCCTTCAGAGGCAGCCTCTAGGGGAGAAGCCCTTCTAACCGGCTCTCTCCTAACCGGGGCCCCTTCTCAGACCTTCCTGCCCTGAGAGCTCCCCAAGGTAATTCTCTTTTATTGAGTCTCGCCCCCTCACCCTCTCCGCTCTGCCTGCGCCGCTCGGAGGGGCTGTAATCCGGCCGCCCCGCCTGGCCTCCCCTCCCCTCCCGCGCCGGTTGTAAAGGAAAATTGCTCCCAACTTACTAGGGTCCAGGTCGGCCTTCTCCTCTTTGTGCTTGCTGCCGGCCAGCGCGTCCGCCTCGGGCGAGGGCAGCGCCTGCGGGGCGCGGTCGCGCAGCTCCCCGGGCGAGCCGTACATGTAGTCCGGGTAGCTGCGGCCGTCGCCCGGGCCGCAGTCGGCGCGGCGCCCGGGGTAGGCGTCGGGCTTGAGGGCGTAGTGCCGGCCCCCGGCCGGGAAGCTGGGGAAGGAGACGGCGCCGGACAGCGGCTCGAGCCAAGTCCGCATGTAGCGCGCGTCGGCGCCGAGGTGGGGCTGGGGGCCGTAGGGGTGGTAGACCACGGACGACTGGGAGGGCACGGGCGCCCACGACGTGCTGAACACGGCCGGCTTGGGCGCGAAGCTACAGGACGGAAAGTCGCTACAGTCCGGCACCAAGCCGCTGGGTCTGGCGGCGGCCGGGTGAGCCCCGGTGGCCGGAAACCTGGACGCTAGGAGGTCTTCATTGTCGTGAGAGATGAGCGAGTCCACGTAATAGTTACTGATGGGCCCCGTCGCCGACATCGTAACAGGGTTTTACATACATAAGATTATTGTATGAACTGTATATGTACTTTTTATCTGCTCACAGAACAATCAAGGCAGGTAATTATTTTTCCAGCCTTTTCCCGGCAGCCCATTGGCTCCCCAGCCCCCACGTGATCGTATTTACCCAAAAATACGGCGCGGATCAATGCGCAGGGGCTTTTTTCCCCTTGCTTTTCCCCCCTTTACCACCCGCTTCTCTCTGCTGATCCCAGCGACCTGCGTTTTCCTGAGGATCTGCAACTCTGGACCCAAGGAGCCGGACAGCCCCCTCCCCCAGCACACACCAGGACGAATCATAGCTCATCAGGGAACCCACACCCCTTGACATGTGCAGCCAAAAGCAGATGGCTCCCCCTACATGAGGATTTAAAAAAAAAAAAAGAAAAAGAAAAAGAAAAAAAAAAAACCAAAAAACAAAACAAGGTGAAAATGCCAGTCCCAGAAGCCAGGGTTCCTGGACCCCCAGGGCCGAGCGGGCTCTGCAGCCCCACGGGGCGGGGAGGCCGGACGAGGTAGGTGGAGGAACTATTTCTTGACGTAATCTGTCTCTGTCGGCCCGGACGCTCCTGCGGTCTCTGAGTGAGCGGAGATCAGCGATTGTCAGTTGGGAACGTGGCTTTTAAAAATGCGTTTTTAAATACTGTGTATGTATGTATTTCTTTCAGAACAGCAGCGAGGGAGGGAGGGTGGGAGGGGACTGAACTAGCTGGGATGGAGGGAGGGACAGAGGGAAAGGGGAGAGAGTCCTGCCACTGGCCAGCTCAGCTCCCCAAATCTGGGGTGTAAGAAGCTTGGGAAAGGTGGCGTGCTGGGGGGGGGGGGGGGGAGAGCTTGAGAGCCTCACACCTTCAACGTGAGCTCCTCAAGTCTTCTCTTGCTTTGGCACAGATATACAAGCCTTTATTTAAAATTTATTGTCTCTGTGTCTTTGCCAGCTTGAAGTGGAGGAGAGAACCCCACAACTTAAGTGAAGCATTCCCATCTCGCCTGCTCGCTTTCCAACCCCCCCAGCTTCATCTCTGCGACACGTCCCCCACCCCCAAAAAAAGAAGTCACTCAGAGGTTCTGTCTGCAGAGAGCCGGGGTGAGAACGGGCAAATCAAGAGAGCGACCTCGGTCGTGGGCAAGTAGCTTGTTTTTACGTCCTTCAATAAAATTTTTATGAGGATCATTTGATTGTTCATAAATGTGTCTTTCATTAAATAAAATTGTAGGCTGTTTTTGGAACGGAAAAAGGCAACGGAGGGATGGAAGAAAGCAATTTCTTTGGGGTCGGATGGAAGAATTCAGGCGGTGGCAGTGTGATTGAAGGGAATATCAGACAACTTGGATGCCACCTCCTAATAAGTTGGCTGCTCCCCCACCTCGAATCTGGGGTCAGCTGCACACACAGGCTTTCACTATCTCCCATGGTGGGCTTTAGGCAGGCAGAAAAGTCCTCTGTATGGGTGCAGGACAGGGGGAAAAGAGGTTGGTGTGGGGATGGAGGGACAGGTGATACCTTCAGACACGAAGCACCCAGGCAGAGCAGAGAGAGCCTAAAGGAAGGGTACAGTCTCAGGGTCAAAGGGGGAAATCAGAAGGAGCTGAGGCTGAGATGCAAGATCTGGGAGGCTTTCCAGACCCAGCCATGTCTGCCCTTCTTCCTCTCTCCAGTCCTCAGGGCCAGACCAAGCTCTAAGTGTGGAAATGGAGGCTGGTTTTCTCCCACGTCTCTCCCTCTATCTCCTCCAAGGTGAGGAAGTGCTAGAGAGGATGGTATGTATGTTTGGGGCAGGAAATTTGGGGGGAGAGACTCAAGAACCACAGGGGCCGCCCAGTCCCTGTGGGCCCCTGCCTCTGGCCTTCACTTTCTGTATATCAGGGCTGGGTTTTGAGGCATGGGTATGTGTGTCTAGTTGGGGAGAAGTACTCAGAGCCTCAGCTCTGTCTGTCTTCTCTTTGGGGCTGGAGGGGCTGGAAAATCCAAATTACAGTAAGAGACAGAGTATCTCTTTGGCCCTAATATAGCCATGTTGGGTGTCAATCAAAAAATCTCTTTCACTAGTTACTTCAAGGAAGAGACAGGAGGTTCCAGTCCCTGTGCAGAGGCTTCCTCCACATCCCCAGCACAGCCCACGCCCCCCCAGCCATGGCTGACTGGGGCTGCCTGGCTCTTGGTCGGCTGCTGGCTGCTTTGAGCACAGACACGTCTTCAGTGGGGCCCGGGCCAGAATGCGACCAACAGGACATCAAGGGACAGAGCCTAAGAGAGTCAGAGCCTGAGACAGACCAATTTAATAGGTCACCAGGCAGAAGGGAGGAAAAATAGAAAAGGAGGGTTACGATAAGAGGGAGAAAAAAATAAGAATAAGGGAAAGAAGGCAAGATAAAGAGACCTAAAAGCAAGGAAAGGAAGGCTTTCAAAAAGCAAGAGGGAAGGGCAATGAGGCGCAGGCAGGATGGGGCAGGGCTCAGGCTGGCGGAGCAGCCAGCAGCCGTGGCATTGTGCAGTTCTCTTGCTTGCTGGGGCTTTGCCGCGGGACTGCTCGGGGCGCGTCGGCCACTTCTGTCTGGACACAAAGGAGTAAGAGGCCTCCTTTCCTGCTCCTCTGGGAGACCTGCTCCGGTGGGTATGCTAGGCCTCGGGGACAGAATCTGGCAGTAGCCCTGCAGTCAGTCACTCTAGCTGCTGAGGACTGAGCTACATTCTAATAAAGAGGGAGAAACAGAAGAGGAAAGAGAGAGCATGCCTGCTCTCCCTCTGCATCTTCCCCGGGCACAGGGCTGGTCGGCATTCCTAAACAGTAGTGCCTAAGAACCTTTTCCATCGCCCTCTTCTATTTGGAAGAGCCCCTCTTACAGACGTCCTGGCTGTAATGGGACCTCCCTTCTCTCCTGCTCCCTTTGAACACTGCCTTCTTTTCAACTGAGCAGCCTGCACACCCAGCCTGCCTCCCCCTGCAGAGGCTGTTGCGGCTGGGCAGTCAGGGTACCGGCCGGTTTCCCTGCTGCCTGTCAAATCCCCCAGGAAGCAGAAGAGAGACTGTTGTCTTTGCTTTTGGGAGCAAGAACTCCAGACCCTCCCCAACTCGGAAGAGGCCTCGCCCACAGGCCCTGCTCACCAGTGTCCCACTCTGGTCTGCCTTTCAGAAAAGGTAGCCTTAAGGAAGGGTCTGCTAGAGACTGGGAGTCCAGAGCCCCCTAGGCCCAGGTCTTGCATGAGGGTTGTGACTCCCATGCTTATATTTAGAAGCCAGCAGGTCAGGGTTGGGAAGTGAGCTCTGAGGGTCCCCCTAAATCTGGCAGGTAGATGTGGGGGGCAGAGAGATAGGGATGCCAAGGAGGAGCGTCTCATCTTGGGGTTCAGTTACTCTTGCTGAAATGCCTGTTCTATTCTAAGACTCTTCTCATCTACACCACTTCTTTCAATTTTTCTTAGCACCCCTGGGGCAAACCGAGAGTGCCGAGGAGGCTGGGAGTCACTGCTGGGGGTAGAGGAGAAAGCCCGGTCCTAGCTGGCTGTCCTGTTATTAGCGTTCACCCTACAGCCCAGCAGATCTCGGTGGGCACGGGAGAGGAGCCCCCTGGAGGGGGGAGGGGCGCACTTCCTCTACCACCTCAAATCTGGGCCATCGAGACCACAATCAAGCTAGCACCGTGGGAAGGACAGACAAACGGATAGGTTAGAGTCACCACCCCCTCCCCCCGCCGGGTGTCTCCCTTTTCATGATTTAAATTCCCTCCGGTTCAATCCACACCGTCAAGTTCGGATTAAATTTAAAACAGGCTTTCCCCGGAGCCCCCAGCGGGCCATCGGGCCGCCGCGGGCAGGGAGCTGGCCCTCTGCGCCCCAGCACACGCCCTGAACCAGCAGACCTGCTCCGCTTGCTTTCATTTTCCTCCTTCCCCTGAAATGGGCTCATTCCGACCCTCCGCTGCCCTCTCCCCTTCCCCACCCCCTCCCTGGTTCTCTTCTACTTTCCCCCCCATCTCTCCTGATCCCTCTTTGTTGGGAAAAACACACCCACACACAACTCCTCCTAGCTAAGGCCTGAGCTGGAAGCAGAAACTGAGCTCCCCTGCCTGCCGCGAGGAGGCCCGCGTGCTACCCCCACCCGAGGTGGGTATCCGGGGTCCCCGCCACCACGCCAGGAGCAGGGCCCCCCAGCTCAGCAAGCACCAGAGCCCCGGGCCTGTGAACGTGGCCCCCTCAACGCCACGGCCTGCCGGGCCTGCCTTCGCGGGCGCCCCCGCCCAGCCGAAGCAAACGGGGTTATTTCCGGCTCCCCCAGCGCAGCCCGGATTTCCAGGCTGGGAGGGGGGGCGTCCCAGAACAGGGCTGCCCCGCTCTGGCTCTCACTGCCCCTGACGCCTCGTTACCTGATCTTTTGTGTGGTGTACGCACCGCAAGGAAATTTGCAGTGACTTTGGAGCCCAGACTGAGGAAACGGAGGTGGCGAAGGGAGAGACAATACGGGCTCGAAGCGCAGTTCCGGGGCAGGCGCGGGCTCCCCGCCCTCCCTAGGCTAGACCGGAGCGGTCTAGCCCAACCCTCAGGCGGCTCGCGAGCCTAGAACCGGCGAACGGCGCGTGGCGAGGACGCCAGAGGACCCCGCGTGCAGAAGACTCTCCGCCCTTCACCCCGGGCGCGGCCACCGAGCCGCCAGGGAACCAAAGCGCACACCCCGACCACGACTTTCACGGGCCTTTGGCAGGCGCTCGGGTCGGGGCGTCCAGGCGGCACGCGGCGTGGCCAGGGCAGGCGACTCACAGCGCGAGCGCGAGCTGAGGCCACGCGCGGGTCCCGGGCCTCCGTGCCAGGCCCGGCGGGCGCCTCTTCCTACCTTCTCTCCCGCGAGGGCTGGGCAGGGCCGGAAGACTCGGGGCGCGGGGCTCGGTCCAGCTCGGCCTCGGAGCCTCGGCTACCTGCTCCGCGGCTTCCCCGGAGCCGGGGCCGCCGCCTCCCGCCCGGGGAGGGGAGCCTGCCGCCGCCC